ATAGCAGGCCGGGCGCAGTGGCTCATGCCTCTAATCCCAGCACTTGGGGAGGCTGAGATGGGCGGATCACAAGGTCAAGATATTGAGACCATCTGGCCAACATGGTGAAACACCGTTTCTACTAGGGAAAAAATACAAAAATTAGCTGGGCGTGTCACACGCCTGTAGTACCAGCTACTCAGGAGGCTGAGGCAGGAGAATTGCTTGAACCCAGGAGATGGAGGTTGCAGTGAGCTGAGATTGTGCCACTGCACTCCAGCCTGGTAACAGAGCAAGACTCTGTCTCAAAAAAATAGCAAAAACCACAATTACTTTTGCATCAACATAATACCTTGATGTTTTCCATCATCTTCACCTGTTCACATTGCAGCCTGACATCTCTGAATAGCACATTATTTTTTTTCATCCCTAATCCCTTTGCAGTTCATGTATTGCAAGTATAGTGTCTGAGTAGTTTCTGTAGACTCACTCTGGAATTGGATGACATAAGAGATATCCAGTAGGATTTACCCCCCTCATTGTACAAGCATTCAGGACTGCACTGTGGAAGACGAAGTACAAGACAGGGTCTTTACCCACCACTTTATGGTCCAGTAGGGAAGCCAAGTACAGGTACTCGAAAGATAATTCCACCCTCTTCATTTGTCTATTTTAAAAACCTTGGGTGAGAGTCTGTTCAGGACAAGACAGGAGACATGTAGGCATATATATGCTGTCTTTGATGTGCATGGGAACATAGAGGGAAGCCCTTCTTACCTGGAAGGGTTAGTCACTTTTCAGAGTTCCTTCACTTTCTATTTTCCTTCCTCCCTCCAGTTCCCCCCTTAGAAGAATTGGCTACACTTGCCCTTTCTCGCTCCCACTAGGGTGGCTTGCCCCTGCCAGTTCACAGCTGGCAGTGGCAGGCACTGCCCACCCCGCTGGCCACGCTAGAAAAGGAAGGTTCATTATTGACTCCTCTCCCCTTCTCAGTCCCCAGGTCTAGGCAACTCCTGCCTTCACTGGCGTCCCGACCTGCCATGTTAGCCTCATCTAAGCAGCACTTTGCATTGTAGGCCCTCCTTTTTCTCCCAATGGACCCTTCCTTGGCATCTCTAATTCTGCTGGGTTCAGGGTTTTTCCTACCCCTTGACCACTGCAGCTCCTGCTGCTGACACTGCCTCCGTTCTGCGCTTGCCCTACCCAGGGATGTCTGTGTTTCTTGGGCTCAGCCTGGACCCTCTTCTCCTTCTACACGCTCAGAGGAGGCATCATCCCTCCCAGTGGCCTGGCTGCCATCCAGGTCTCCAGCCCAGATCTCACATTTTCATTTCTGACTGTCCACCCACCTGTGACTCAGAGATGGCAGCCTCCATGCCGCTGCCCCAGCACCTTTTCCCTGGGGTCTCCAGTGCAGGGAGAGGAAGCACTGTCCACCCCCTTATCCACAACAGAAGAGGAAGTTTTATTATTGATGGCTCCTCCTCCCTCAATCCACTGATCTAGTTCATTAGCAAATCCTCTGCATTCTGCTCCCAAATGGCCCCCACTCTTGCTTGTTTTATTTTCGGCAAAAGCCAAGACCCTGGGTCAAGCCACTATCGCCTCTTGCTTGGGTTGCTGTTGCTACCTCAGCCTCCTCATCAGCCTCTCTGTCTTTTCTCAGCTTTTCAACCCTTTCCAATTCAGTTTCTCCCTACTGACCCAGTGTTCTTTCTAAAATACAAATTTGATATCTATGTGAGCCCTTCTGCTTAAAATCTTCCAATGGCTGCTCATGGCTTGTAGGATAAAAAGTCTAAACTCCTCAGCTTGGTTCACAAGACCCTGTGGTGCAGGTGGACATAGATTAAACCAGCTTCATCTCCTGCCTTTCTTTCCCTGCTCCAGCCTAGCTGACCTTTACTTCTGTGTTCTTTCTGCCTCCTCTGTGTGGAAGAGGCAGGAGAATTGCTTGAACCTGGGAGGTGGAGGGAATAGTCTCCAGCTGTTCCCCCTGGAGAACTCCTGCTCCTTCAGGTCCTGCCTTGATGTTCTCAAGTCTGACATAGGTCATTGCGGGTCTGCTGCCATGACTTAGGGTATTTCTGTAGACCTTGTCCTCCTTAAGTACTGCCTGGCTTGTCTCTGCCCCGCATGAGATTACCAGCGATGAGAGCAGAGACTAAGTCTCATGTTGTTTCCATTCTGTCTCCTTTACAGCTCTTGGTGCCTGGCACCTAGTAGATGCTCAGTAAATATTTGGTGAATGGACAAAGGAACTTTTGACAATCTATGCTTAGTCATTTAATAAACGTTCTTACTCCAGTTCTGCTCCCTAGCTGTTCCCTGTGTTTTTCTTTTTTTTTTTTTTGTAAGAGTCCCAGCTCTTGAGCTTGCCACTCAACCTGTTTTAAAATCTCTTCTTAAAATACCACCTTAAAAAAGAAAATGTAACTTGTCCATTAGTCTTAAGAATGGCACTCTGTAAAGTATCATAAATGGGATTTTTATAGTCATTGCTCCTAAAGCATAGGTGTGATAAATGGTAGAATAACAGGCAAACATGGAAACATGAGATTTTTACCCTTTAGAGGACCAGATGTTCTTTGCCATTTTTAAAATTTACATTTTAAGGCAAGGTGTGGTGGCTCATGCCTGTAATCCCAGCACTTAGGGAGGCCGAGGCAGGCAGATCACCTGAGATCGGGAGTTTGAGACCAGCCTGACCAACATGGTGAAGCCCTGTCTCTACTAAAAATACAAAAATTAGCTGGGCGTGGTAGCAGGCACCTATAATCCCAGCTACTCTGGATGCTGAGGCAGGAGAATCACTTGAACTCAGGAGGCGGAGGTTGCAGTGAGTCGAGGTCGCGCCATTGCACCCCAGCCTGGGTGACAGAGTGAGACTCTGTCTCAAAGCAAAAAAAAAAAAAAAATTACATTTAGGTGAAGAAATGTAGTCATTTGAAAGAAACACTGTGGAGATGGACTCTCCAGATAGTGTGAGACGTCTTTATTTTCTTCTGTTTTTAACCTCAAGCCAGACTTAATTGAAATATATGTCTGAAATGAAGCAGCGGGTTCATCAGGTGTCTTAAGTGGCAAATTCCTCCTAGTTGATGGAAGGTAAAGTCTCAGAAACTGGTTTCAGGTTGAGTCTTCGCTTGGCTGGTGCTTTTTAAAAAGTTAGTTATTAGCCAGGTATGGTGGGTGGCTCTCGCCTGTAATCCCAGCACTTTGGGAGGCTGAGGCAGGTGGATCACCTGATGTCAGGAGTTTGAGACCAGCCTGACCAACATGGTGAAACCCCATCTCTACTAAATACAAAAAAATAACTGGGCATGGTGGTGCATGCCTGTAATCCCAACTATTTGGGAGGCTGAGGCAGGAGAATCGCTTGAACCTGGGAGGTGGAGGTTGCAGTGAGCCAAGATTACGCCATTCCACTCCAGTGGAATAAGTGGGCAATAAGAGCAAAACTCCATCTCAAAAAAAAAAAATTCAGTTATTAATATTAGTGATGTTATATGGTTGATAAAGGGAAATTTATTGGGAAACTGGTTATAAAGTATTTTACGTCCAGGCGTAGTGGCTCATACCTATAATCCCAACACTTTGGGAGCTTGAGGTAGAAGGATCACTTGAGCCCAGGAGGCGGAGGCTGCAGTGAGTCCAGATCACACCACTGCCATTGCACTCAAGCTTGAGCGACAGAGTCAGACTCTGTCAAAAAAAATTTTTTTTAATTTTTTTTTTTTTTTTTTGGAGACAGCATCTTGCTCTGTTGCCCTGGCTGGAGTGCAGCTCTGTTGCCCTGGCTGCAGCCTCTGCTTCTTGGGTTCAAACGATTCTCCTGTCAGCCTCCCAAGTGGTTGGGATCACAGGCGTGCACCACCTCTCCCAGCTAATTTTTGTATTTTTAGTAGAGACGGGGTTTCACCATGTTGTCCAGGCTGGTGTTGAACTCTTGACCTCAGTTGATCTGCCTACCTGGGCCTCCCTAAGTGTTGGTATTACAGGCGTGAGCCACTGCACCCGACATAAATTTTTGCTTTTCTGTGGATTTTAATAGACTCCCAGATTTTAATTTGTGTTTGTATATTTTCTAACCATGAGATCCTTGAAATAAGAACATAAATTAAAATTTCAGCCCTTTGACCATTTAGAGGCGTTTGCTTACAATGAGTTGAAACAGCAACAGTGCTGTAAGTAAAACTCTTATGTAGGGTTTTCTGTATTGCAGAACAAGGTTTTTTTCCTACTGTGCTAGTATTGAAAAACTGAAGCTTAACATCTTTGGCAAGTGTTAATACTAATATAGTTTAGTTGCTACAAATTCATATAGGTTATTTCAGTGCTCCTCAAACTTTAAAATACATAACTCTCTAGACTCATTAAAAAGCAAGTTCTGGTTTGTTTCTTACATTTTTTTGTTTGTTTGTTTGTTTTGGGACGGAGTTTCACTCTTGTTACCCAGGCTGGAGTGCAATGGCACGATCTCAGCTCACCGCAACCTCCGCCTCCTGGGTTCAAGCAATTCTCCTGCCTCAGCCTCCCGAGTAGCTGGGATTACAGGCATGCACCACCATGCCCAGCTAATTTTTGTATTTTTAGTAGAGACGGGGTTTCACCTTGGTGACCAGGATGGTCTTGATCTCTTGACCTCATGATCCACCCGCCTCGGCCTCCCAAAGTGCTGGGATTATAGGCGTGAGCCACCGCGCCCGGCCTAAAATTACTATTATGGAATGCTTCATGAATTTGCATGTCATTCTTTTTGTTTGTTTTTTGAGATGGAGTCTCATTCTGTCACCCAGGCTGGAGTGCAGTGGCAGGATCCTGGCTCACTGCAACCTCTGCCTCCCCAGTTCAAGCAATTCTTATGTCTCAGACTCCAAAGTAGCTGTGTGCCACCATGGCACATGCTTGTAATTTTCATATTTTTAGTAGGGATGACGTCTCACCATTTTGGCCAGGCTGGTCTCAGACTCCTGACCTCAAGTGATCTGCCCGAGTCATCCTCCCAAAGTGCTGGGATTACAGGTGTGAGCCACTGCACCCCACTTGCCTGTCATCCTTGCACAGGGCCATGCTGATCTTCTCTGTATTGCTACAATTTTTAGTATATGTGCTGTGGAAGGAGCACAGCAAGCTCTGGTTACTTTCTAACAAGTTCTCCAGTGGTGTCAAAGCTGCTGGTGTGTGGCCGACACTTGGTGGCATGGGAGTATACTATCTGACTTTTAAACCCATCTTTTTTAAAATTTTTGTTTTGTTTTTGAGACAGTGTCTTGCTCTGTCAATCAGGCTGGAGTATAGTGGCATGATCACAGCTCACTGCAGCCTCAACCTCCTGGGCTCAAGCAATCCTGCCTCAGCCTCTCAGTAGCTGGGACTATAGACACCCACCACCATAACTGACTAATTTGTTTATTTTTTAATAGAGATGAGGACTCATTATGTTGCCCAGGCTGGTCTTGATTGCTTGTAAACCCATCTAAGCAGAGTCTGCATTTTTTTATCAGAATTTTTTTATGTCTTTATGTTAGGTTAAATCGGTGATAATTTTGTTATAAAATAGTCTCTTGTAGAATTGGATTTAATCCAAAGTGTATATTGTATTAATAAACACTTTTTGAGCAGATAGCTTTTTAAGTCACTCAGAATGATTGTCTCTAAACCAGTCAAATGACACCTTACGCTATAACTAGTGGTATAATTATACCTTACTTAGCAACGATTTTGAACATTTTTTTCTGTCATTTACTGCTTTTGTTTGAAGTATTCTAGGTTAGTGCTGCTTTTTCTTGACTTCAGGAGAGATCCTTGAATCTTCTCTTTCATTATCTCAGGGAATACTTGTGTTCTTTCCATCATTTCACTTCTGGAAGAGTTATGGCCCTTATCCAACTGAAGATATCCTTTTCCATATTTGCATCTTACGCTTTGAAAGTTCCTTGCTGGCTGGTCCGATGGTAGTGGGTTATCAGAACTTATTAACATTAGTGTCACTAAAGTTGGTATACAACCCCCCACTGCTAAATTTGACTGGCTTAAAAAAAAAAAAGAAAGTTCCTTGCTAACATAGCTTGCTCTGTGAAAACAAACTGTTAGTCTACTCGGGCTGCCATGACAAAGTAGTACAGCACTAGTGGCTTAAATGACCGAAGTTTGCTGTCTCGAAGTTCTGGTGGCTGCCACCAGGAATCCTGAGGTCAGGGAGTCAGCGGGGGCTGGTTCCTTCTAAGGGCTGGAGGAGGACAGCACCAGGCCCGCCTTCTCGCTGCTGGGGGTGCTGGCAGTCTTTGGCTTCCATACCTTGTTTTACATTACCGTGGTCTCCACCTTTGTCTGCACCTGGCCTTTTCCCTGTGTGTGTCTGTGTGCACATTTACCCTTTTTATAGAGATGCAGTCCTACTGGGTTCGGCCCCACCTTACTCCAGTATGGCCTTGTCTTAAGTAATTATATCTACAGCAGCCTTGTTACTAAATGTAGTCACATTCTGAGGTACCACAGTTTAGTGTCAACGTGGGAATTTTGGGGTTACACAACTAAATCGTAACACAAACCGTGAATTCTTAGCATCTTAGGAATTAGCCGTAGAAGAGACACAGGAGCCACCCCCTCCAGTCACTACTCCAGTGGCTCTGGTTTTGTTGTAGTTCAGTAGAGAGCACGTATGATCTGAAAAAAGCACTTCACTTGTCCTCGGTATCCACAGGGGTTGGTTCCTGGACCCCCTAAGACACCCAAAATGCACAGATACCCAAGTCCCTGGTAAAAAAACAAATGGTATAGCATTTATATATATATAATCTGCACACATCCTCCTGTGTACTTTAAATCATCTCTAGATGACTTGTAATACATAATAAAATGTAGATGCTATGCCCATAGTTGATATATTGTATTGTTTTTAATATTTGTCATTTTTATTGTTGTGCTGTTACTTTTTTATTGTTTGGGGTTTTTTCCTGAATATTTTGATCCATGGTTATGGAACCCACAGATGTCAGGGCCAGCTGTAACCTGGGGAAGTCACTTGATGGTGGTGGGTAGTGTTGCGGACGCCGTCTTGCTGGACTTTGTCCTGCCGTAAGCTCTCTGACGTGACCCTATTTGTTCCTTTAGGAGACGTTGATCCAGCAGCACGTGTCATTTCATTAGGTCCTGTATCTGATGTTGTGGATAGTGGAGTCCTCCAGCAATTGAATGAGAGCAGTGGATACATCTCAGCAGGTCGGTCTAGAGAGTTGCGAATCTAAACCTGGGACAGGCTGGGGCCAGGAGGCAGAAACACCAGCCTCTGCCAACACCGGAACAAGCCGACGCTTCCAGACAAGGCAGAAAAGGCCTTTTGTAACGGAAATCACTCGAGGGTTCATCTTCTCTTGAGAATGGCAGTCAAGAAATGAGATGGTTCACTTGACTACTGAGCAGTTATACCAAGGAGAGCATCAAGGAGATGATTGAGCCAGAGAAGAAACGGGTTATGATGGTAATGGTGTGGGGGAAATGAACTTGAGCTTTAAACTTGATTTGAGTTTCAGTGTCTCTGAATCGAACATCCCGTGTTGGAAGAAGATACATTTGGGGGCTCCAGGACTACAGTAGAGAAGTGTAGAGCAAGCAGGAAAATATTCTAGTAAAACCTTACGTGCAGGACAACAAAATGATGAAAGATATCCAAATACCAGATCATCCACCAGGAAGGCTTTTGTTTAGGAATTTGTATCAAGAGGAACAAAGGATGAGGGAGAAAAATCCATTTATCCATCAGAGTCAGTGATATAAAATGGCCTATTAGGGTAAAAGAAAAATGTGAAGACTGTTTCAGTAAACAGAGAGCATTAATTCAGATGGCTTAGAAACGTGATAGCAGCCCAAGAACAGGGATCTAGTTGAGCCCATTGTAAGTATCATTGAAAACAAAACATGCCAGTCAGCATGTCACAGAGAACGAACGAAGGACAGCAAGAAGTGGATCCGAATATTTCGTTGACCTTCATGGGTTTACAGCCTCTGTCTCTAAATAAAATATGGAAACAAGTCGAGCTCTTATTTTGCTTTTGTTTTCGTTTTGTTTCGTTTTGTTTTCCCCACTAAATAGAAATGAGGGTTCTCAGTCTGTTTCTGACAATCTGTTAATTTCTTAGGATAGTTGTCTTTCGTTTGCTTTCCAGTAGGCATAGTACATTTAGTTGAAGAGCACATCTGTATGCTACAACTTGATTAAATCTTTTTTTCTAGCTATTTTGCATTTTTTCTTTTACCATGTTTCAGTTTCTGCATGTAGATTTAAATAAGAAACAAAACTTGTAAAGTTGTAACATTTCACATGGAAATGCTGCCCAATCTTCACCAGCTTCAGAAATCTGACCTTTGCCGATGCTGCAATAAAGTGTTGTAATTTAGATTTGGCATGGTGGTGGTTGATTTGGTTTGGGTTTTGGGAGCCTGTTGAATGGGTACATTGGTATCTCGCAGCATCATCTTTGTGCTTTACAATATATTCTCAGATGATCCGTGTGGTTTTCACCTTCAGGGTTCCAACTCCGCATGACTTTTCTCAGGTGCCGGAATGAATGTACCTTTGGGGCCAATGGGAAAAAAGTAGCCTACACAGACCAATGGAAGGCACGTTTTTAGAACAGGCTGAGTACTGGTGAAGATGGGAGCGGGGGCAGCATGGTTCAGCCTGGGGCAGCGTTTGTGATATGGGTGGGTGGAGCCTGTGCGAAGCAGGTGACTCACAAAGGAACAGCAAGAACCACTCTTGGCCATCTCTTGCTAGGTGTTCATTTTAAGGCTGATTTATACACTCCAGACAGAATTACTGTAATCACCATTGCTAAAATTTCAAAAATTCAGCTGAGAATTATCATTGGAAAAAAAGAAAGGTTTTCTTAAAGGAAAAACAACTTTACAAATTTCACTTACGGGAAGCTTATCGTCCAACCCTTATTATCGTACTGTTACTCACTGTTCTTTTGTTGGGTTTACAAGTTTTATCATTTTTATATTATTTCTAGGTGTTAAATTATTTATTTATTTATTATTTTTTTGAGACAGAGACCTGTTCTGTCACCCAAGGTGGAGTGCATTGGCATGATCTCAGCTCACTGCAACCTCCATCTCCTGGCTTCAAGCAATTCTGCCTTCAAGCGAATCTCCTGCCTCAGCCTCCCAAGTAGTGGGATTACAAGCATTTGTCACCATGCCTGGCTGATTTTTGTGTTTTTAGTAGAGACAGGTTTTCTTTCCTTTTTTTTTTGAGATGGAGTCTCGCTCTGTAGCTCAGACTGTAGTGCAGTGGCATAATCTCGGCTCACTGCAACCTCTGCTTCCCGGGTCCTGGTTCAAGCAATTCTCCTGCCTCAGCCTCCTGAGTAGCCGGGATTACAGGTGGGCACCACCATGCCCAGCTAATTTTTGTATTTTAAGTAGAGACAGGGTTTCACCATGTTGACAGGCTGGTTTTGAACTCCTGACCTCATAATCTGCCCGCCTCAGCCTCCCAAAGTGTTGGGATTACAGGCGTGAGCCACCATGCCCAGCCAGTAGAGACAGGTTTTCACCATGTTGGCTAGGCAGGTCTCAAACCGCTGACCTCAAGTAATCACCACCTCGGTCTCCCGGAGTGTTAGAATTACAGGCGTGAGCCACTGTGCCCAGCCTGTTAGATTATTTATTACAGGGAGTCAGGATAATTCTAAATTCATCCTTTATACTTGATATCATACACAAGGCAGACTATGAAAATCAGCTGTATGGTGATAATTTACTCACCTTTGATCTAGAAAGAATAAAGTCACTAGCAGGTGTAATATATTTGGGAACCAGAAAGTGGGCCAAATTAGATTCTTCACAACATTGCATCTTCAGTTCGAAAGGACACACACCCTGAATTTTAGAAATTTTTATGATTCTCATAACTGTCAGTTTTTTGGGGCTCCTTTTTACCTCTGTGATCCCAGAGGTAAGCAGGTGTTAACACATCTGACTGTCTTCCTTTGAACCTTTGATTCCTTTTCAGGAAGTGATAAGCTGTAGGCTTCCCGGCAGCCTCAGGATCTGACTCAAGGTCATCCCTTTACTTCCCTATAGGAGCCTCACAGGTCCTTAGACATTCCACCTTTACAT